ATACAAGCCCATGGACCACAATAGAACTTACCTGCATGACTGAGGCATTACACAGATATAAGGCCACATGGGAATTATAAGGGAAAGTACTACCATTTAATGCCGAAAATAGCATTCTATTGCCTAAAAAAAGACTGTTTTTTTATTATCATTGTGGTGTCAGAATCGGTTTGACATTTTAGTATTGTGACAACACTACTAAGAACATGCCAAGAACATGCAAAATGCATGGATGTACAATATAACAAAATTATGATATGAATAAAAATACTGAAAAGTCTTAAGATCCTTAGGAAATCTCCTGTCTTCCTTGTGTGTCAGATGCCCTCGCTGTGTCTCTATGGGGTCTTATTCTGTGTAAAAGCTGTTAACTCTGTATTTTAGTAGTATTAAGACCTCTATATTCACAAGTAGAATTCTCTGTTTTTCTCAGGTGCTGGTCATATGTCGGGAGGATGTGGTGGATGCGCAGTCAGAAAGTGTCTCTGTCTAAAGATGGATGCCTTTCCAAAAGCACGATCCAACACGAACTTCTGCATGCGCTCGGATTTGCCCACGAACACTCACGCTCCGATCGTGATGACTACATCCAAGTGCTGACGGAGAACATCATGTCAGGTACAACAGCCCCAAAATCACAACCATCCCGACAACTGACAACTGCCCCGACAACCAGTGTTGGGAAGGTTACTTTTAAAATGTAATCCCCTACAGATTACAGATTACACACCCCAAAATGTAGTTTGTAACGTAATCCATTAAATTACTTAAAGTGAGTAACGTAATCTGATTACTTTGGATTACTTGATATTGTCATGTTTTTTTAAATGACATGAATGTAGCAACCACATCCTGAAAATTCTTGTTTGTTGTCTTCAAATTGTCTGAGCCCAAGTCTCCATGAATAAGCAACTGTTTGCTGTAGAGAAACAAAGACCACGATATTTTAACATAAGAGGTTTTGTCTGTTAAAAGACAATAACAAGATCAGCCTTTCCTTAATATTAAAAAATATTATTGATAGAGAAATTATTTTTTATATGAGATCACCTTAAATTATGTCAATCTACTGTTAGGTGTCATGTTGTTTAGACCTGGTTTAGTCCTGGTTTAGTCCTGATTTTTAGACCTGGTTTACTCCTGATTTTAGACCTGATTTAGACCAGGTCTAGACCAGGTCTTTAGTTCTGGTTTATTCGTGGTTTAGTCCTAGTTTAAACCTGGTTCAGTCCTGCTTTAGTCCTGGTTTAGTCCTGGATTAGTTTTGGTTTAGTCCTGGTGTTAGTTCTGGTTTAGAGGCGCACAGGAGGAAGCGCGGTTTACGCGAGAAAACACGGTCCACACGTGGCGCAAGAGACAGCGGTGTCCGCGCAGTAACTACGGAAGGAGACGTGGTCCGCGGGTTCCCAGGTTGATGACGATGATGAAGGTGTGTTTGTGTGTGTTTGTGTGCACGTCTACTCATGTCGCAGGTCATTATAGGACAGTAGTGCAGATATTATGAGTCTATGCAGGTTGTTTTCACCAGTGCCAGTAGCTCCTGTTTCACATTTAAGTTGTAGGCGATTTTATATATGTTTTTTTTATATATATATCTCACATCGGGAGAAAAATTTCCAAGACACAAATGCGTTTTTACCAATGCACTGCTGCTTCCACTGTGTGACTGACACCGCCAACTTTAATATGACGTTTACATCGCTCTTATTGCGCGCGTTCTGTTTGGGTTTCCAGCAATGAGTGGAATTACCGAAATAAAAAAAAATAAATAAATGGGATGTAGCACAAAATGTGAAAACAGGAAAATACCGCCTTGTAATCCACTTATTTCAGCAAAGTAACTGTAATCCAATTACCACTCATTGAAACAGTAACTGTAACGGAATACAGTTACTCATAATTTGTACTCTGATTACGTAACGGCGGTACATGTAATCCGTTACTCCCCAACACTGCCGACAACAGACAACTGCCCTGACAACTGCCCTGACAACTGCCCTGACAACTGCCCTGACAACTGCCCTGACAACTGCCCAGACAACTGCCCTGACAACTGCCCTGACAACTGACCTGACAACTGCCCAGACAACTGCTCCGACAACAGACAACTGCCCTGACAACAGACAACTGCCCAGACAACTGCCCTAACAACTGCCCAGACAACTGCCCCGACAACAAACAACTGCCCCCATAACAGACAACTGCCCTGACAACAGACAACTGCCCTAACAACTGCCCAGACAACTGCCCCAACAACAAACAACTGCCCCCACAACAGACAACTGTCCCGACAACTGCCCAGACAACTGCCCCGACAACTGCCACCGACAACTGCCCGAGAACAAAAAGCAGTAGCAGGGACAGGCTTGCACTATTGGGGAGTGCTCGGGAATCTTAAATCAGACCTATTCTGCAAAATGGACTTTTCATAGCTTTTAATCATGTTATAGTTGTTTTCTTCACATTTACCCTCTGAAGTTTTATTTAGAGTCATGTGTGTCTGAGTAATTGTCATTGCTCTGATCTAAACCTCATTTTCATCACCACTGGTGCACGCCCGCTATGACGTCCTTACTTCATAGACTTACTTCATTCTCCAATTTTATTGTCTTAATTGGTGATACACATAGGTTTCGCAGCTCTGCATGGTCATTTTGATCCAAATGAAAAAAAATCTTCTGCTCGCTAGTGTGATCCTTAGGAGGGGCCCACAGCATGTGGCGCTTTGTCATGATGGTGTTTATGGTCAATTCCCATTGACTACCATAGTTTTCTAACAATGAAATCAGCTGACTTGTTCTTATAATAAGTTGTTTTGGATCATTATTGTGATTTAAAATGTCAAAATTATAACATAATGATCCATGAGTGCCATAGATTATAACCATAAAGAAGACACAAGCACAATAGGTTTGCTTTAAAACTGAGGAAGTAAATAATTAAGTAGTTTCTTGTTCCTATGCGGGCATCCAACATATACAGGAGGATGGGAGGGCACCACACATAATTAATCTAAGTGTTTCTTTCAGGGGAGGAGCGCAACTTTGCCAAATACGAAACCAACAACCTCAAAACGCCTTATGACTTCAAGTCTGTCATGCAGTACAGCAAGTAAGTACTACTAATTGGGGATGCACCAATGCAATACTGGTGTCAGATATTGGTGTTGAAACCAGAACTGAACCAGGATTAAACCAGGACTAAAACCAGGACTAAACCAGGACTAAACCAGGACTGAACCAGGACTGAACCAGGACTGAACCAGGACTGAACCAGGTCTAAATGAGGTCTAACTGTGTTCTGGTCTCTTTCAGTTATGCGTTCTCTAAAAATGGAAGTCCAACGCTGATTGCTCGGTCCAACTCAAGTCTCAAGTTTGGTTTCGCTACTTCAGTGAGTGACAACGACATTCTGAGAGTCAACCGCTACTACTCCTGTACGGCCTATCTGTAAAACTCCAGCAAGACCCGATCAAGACTGGATCAGAATCAGAGACCAGAGACCAGACCAGAGACCAAACCAGGACCCAAGATCAGAAACCAGACCAGGACCAGAGAGTGGGTCAAGAATGGACCAGGACCTAAATCAGGACTAAACCAGGACTGGACTATCAACCACTACTACGACTGCAAGGCCTATCTCTTAAAGACCTCAGCAAATGGACCAGGACCCGGACCCGGACTCAGACACAGAGGTTTAGCCCCAGGTCCAGGTGTGAATGGCTCCTGGAGTTACTTCTGTTTCTAAATAAAATCTCTGAAAATGGTTTAGTTTTTTTGTCATTCATTTTTGTGTAATTTTTTATAACACAAGCTTAATTAGGGATCAGTAACATTAGCCTGTGGCACTTTGGGGTTGTTTCATTCATGTTTTCCTGTCTGCAATAAAATGAGGGCTATATTTAGGCCATATGTCAGAACTGAAGTTATGGTTGTTCGAGAGAGAAGGAAACAGGGGGACAGAACAGCAGCAGGAAGAGCATCAGAACACATGCATGAGATTAAATAATGAAAGAAATCCCATTTAACATTCAGCTGTAGGCTATAAGAGACTGAAGCATCAGCAGTACTAAGTTTTATGGAAGGTTCTTATTTTAAAAGTGCACTATGTACATTTTCTGGTGGAGGCTCTGCCACCTGCTTGTCTCATAAAAATGATATGGCTCTACCTCCAGAGTATAGTATACATGTATATATCTTGCATTTAGTGTTTTAATACCATTATCCCAACTCCATCCATCACTCACTTTCTCAGCTGCTGAAACCTTAATCCATGCATTCATCAACTCCAGAATCAATTACTGCAATAGCAGTATTTATGGCACATCCTCAGAATCTGTCACAGTCCCACTAACACATCACCCTTGTCCCCCAGAACCACTACTGGCTCCCTGTCCTTCAGAACCTCCAGAACCTCCAGAACCTCCAGAACCTCCACTGGCTCCCTGTCCCCCAGAACCTCCAGAAGCTCCTCTGGCTCCCCATTCCTCAGCATATCCACTTCAAAGTCCTCCTCATCACTTTCAATGCAGCTGTCCACAACCAGGCCCCGTACACCTCTCAGACTTGCTGCACACCCACACTCCATCCCACTCCCTCCACTCCTCTGACACCAACCTCCTGCCTCCCCCCTGTTCCTGTCTGCTCCTGTCCCTCCCCTGCAGGATCAAACTCTGACCCTGGGGAGACAGAGTCAGAAGACAGAGACAGAAATAGAACAGCAATTTCTAATTAAGTGTGGACCTGAGATGTAGTTCTAAAGACTATGGTGAAAGTACTTCCAAAAGCCATGATCTTAAAACTTGTAAAATGACCCAAAATGCAGCAAATGTGACCTGTCCACTCCAATCATACATCCCCCAAAATGCAATTTTTCAGTGGTTTGTAGTAATAGTACTGCAGTATTTGTGCATTTGTAGCAGTACTACAGTACTGTAGTGTACTTTTGTATTTATAGTAGTAGGATAGCAGAATTTGTGCATTTGCGGTAGTAATACTCACTTGTACTGGTGGGGAGGCTCGATGGGGCTGAACTGAGCTGGAGGAGTCCGTCTGAGACTGTCTCTGAAAACAAAGGGTTAAATGAAACCAGGACTAAACAAGGCCTAGACCAGAACCAGAATCAGGATTAAAGCAGGACAAAACAATGTCTAAATAAGGACTAGACCAAGACCAAACCAAGACCAAACCAGAACTAACCCAGGACTAAACCAGGTCGAAACCAGGACCTAACCCAGCTCTAAAGGAGGACTAAACCAAGTCTAAACCAGAACTTAAACAGGTCTAAAGCAGGACTCACCGTTTGTCATCTCTCTGGACTTTGATCCAGTTCTGGACTTGTTCTCGGACGCTGTTTCGAGTCAGGCTACTATTTGGGGGCGTAGCCTGTCTGAACATACTTCCTGTGGGTGTGGCCTGTCTCTGTGTACTTCCTGTGGGTGTGACCTGTCTCCCAGGGGGCGTGGCCTGTCTGTAAACACTGCCTGGAGGCGTGTCTGGGGGTGGAGTCGTCTGGTATGTTCCGGACGCGATTCCATTTGGCTCCAGGATTGGACTAGGGGTTGACACCGGGAACCTGTGAAAACCAAAGAGAGACTGGGTTTAGACCAGGTTTAGACCGACTTTAGACCGGCTTTAGACCAGAAAAGGGCCAGGTTTAGACCAGAGACTTTTTTTCCTGTTTCAGTCCTGATTTAATCCTGTTTTAGGCCTGGTCCCTTCCTGGTACAGTCCTGTTTCAATCCTAGTTTAGTCGTGGTACAACCCTGGTTTAGTCCTGATTCAGTTCTAGTTTAGTCCTTTTTGATTTTCACTGTAACACAGTCAAAACAAAGCAACAAGTGCTATTCTGTGGGTGGAGTTGGTGGTTTGTCATAGCTTCTGATCTGTGAAGTGTCATAGATTATAACTATAGATCTGACACAAACACAATAGCTCTGTTTTAATGGAATCTGAAGCTGTGTCTTGTCATTCTAGAGGGAGGAGTCAGGAGAGAGAGGCACCTGTTTTGTGAGGCAGCAGGGGCTGTTTCTTCAGGGGGCGTGGTTAGTTGTGTGGTTGCCGTGGAGACATGTCCGATCTTCAGAGGAGAGTCCTGGACAGGATCCTGGTTTGGACTCTGGACCTCACCGACCTGGGTCTTTTCTGAGGCCCGAGTCAAGTCCAATAGTTCTGAGGATCTGAGGAAAGAGAATGGGTTTAGTCATGGTTTGGCCCTGGTTTAGGCTTGGTTTAGTCCTGCTTTAGTGCGGGTTTAGACCTGGTACAGCCCTGAATTTGTCCTGGTTAAGTCTTGGTTTAGTCCTGGATTAGTTCTGGTTTAGTCCTGGTTTAGTCATGATTCAGTCCTGGTTTAGATGTAGTTTAGTCCTGGTTTAGTGTTGGTTTAGTCCTGCTTTTGTCCTGGTTCAGTCCTGGTTCAGGCCTCGTTTAGGCCTAGTTTAGTCTTGATTTAGTCCTGGTTCAGTCCTGCTTTAGTCCTGGTACATACTTGTCTGTTGAGGTGTTGGTGCCACAGTGAACCCCATTCTGGACTTTTCGAACCCCATTTCGGACCTTGGTCTGGATCCCAGTATGGTCTCCAGTCTGATCTTGGGTCTGGTCTCCAGTCTGGTCTTGGGTCTGGCCTTGAGTCTGGCTTTGGGTCTGGCCTTGGGTCTGGTCTTGGGTCTTGGTCTGAACTCGTGAGGCCCGATTCATGGCCCTGATCCAAGCGTTCATGTCTTCCTGAGTCTCCGCGCTGAAGAAGTACGTCCTCATCCCCAAGTGTTCTGCCTGCGAGCCAATCAGAGAGCTGCTGCGTTTGAACGGGCCAATCACAGTGCTGCGCTTGGACAATGGGCCAATCAGAGAGCTCCGTTTGTCCAGGTGGTGAGTGCGCATGACTGACGGACACGCCTAAAAGACAAGAGGCAAGAAAAACTTTAAGATTCAAGACCTGGATTAGTCCTAGTTTAGTCCTGGATTAGACCTGGATAGACCTGAATTAGACCTGGTTCACTCCTGGTTTAGTCCTGGTTCAGACCTGGTTTAGTCCTGGTTAAGTTCTGGTTTAGACCTGGTTAAATACAGGTTCAGACTCTGTTTAGATATGATTTGGTACTGGTTTGGACCTGATCTATTCCTGGTTTAGTCTTTGTTCACTCCTGGTTCAGACCTAGTTTAGTCCTGGTTAAAGTCTGGTTTAGGGCCTCTGTACAGACTGCAAATGTAGTGAGGTTCAGGACTGAAGTGGGACTTAAAAAGTCATTCAAATCAATGCATTCTGCCACACTCTGTTCAGCGGTGTGCAAGTCTGGGTGACAGGGTCCATCCAAATGAAGTGGATTTTTCCTGAACACCAGGTTTAGGCCCTGTTTAGATATGCTTTGGTCAGTGGTGCTCAAAGTGGGGTCCAAAGACGGAGATGCCTAGGGGTCCCTGGGTCGTGTTTTGGGGGTCTCCCCAAAATTTTCATAATATGGACCATTACTTGATTTAGATCACTGACTGTATAAAGAAGTGCACTGAGGGAGTGTGATGTCACCCACAGCATTTGCTGAAGCACCAAATGAAGCTCATCAAGGCTAGAAGTTTTAGCAGCTAATCTGCAACCAGGTTCCATATTTGGAAATTTGACAAGTATCGTAGTAAGGAAATATCTGGATTGAAGCTGTTTAAGGTGATGCCCCTTTCTGCCTGTGTCGCTGGTTTGGCCGACAGTGGGTGCTTAGCAACACTGTCACTCAGACTTGTTGCTGACACTAGCAGGAGTGATCTCGGTGAAAGAAGACACCTGATGGGTCTGTTTGTAATGTTCATATCTTGATTTAGGGACAAGGACCTCAGGATCATGTAGAGCAGGTTAAAACCAACATTTTAAGGTCAGAATGATGAGCCTGACCGCAGCAGTTACAGAGAGGGACCACGTTTTGTCAAAAGGAAATTAATTGGATCCAGGGTCAATGGAGCCGAACTGTGCCCATGCTCACTTCCTATTTGGTACGCCGCGGCTAGAGGGTTGGCCATGTCTAATGTTTATACATACAGTCTACGGTTTGAATTTAGTCCTGATGTAGTTCTGGTTTAGTCTGGATTTTCATTTAGTCCTGGTTTAGACCTCACTTAGTCCTGGTTTAGTCCTTATTTTACATGCAAGAAAACAGCTTTTAATAAAAATGTAATATGCATTTTTAAAACACATTTTCATGAACAAATAAAAATTGAGAAATACATGACACCACAAGATTAACCACAATCACCAAAAATCACCAGTAATTTACCAAAATCCATCACCAAAACTATCACAAAACACCAGTGGAGCTCTACAGTTCCGCCCACTTCCAAGGCCTGGCTGATTCACATTTTCAATTCATTTTTCCCAAAGAAAAAAAGAGTTCAAAGGCATTGTGAAGGCTAACCAGCTACATGCTAACAAATATCCATAATGTTGTTGTTTTAAGTCCAAAAAACACATTTAAACTCAAAATTCTGCAAAATGTTTTAATAACTTCATAAAGATTTATCAGAAACTGATTTTACATAAAAGTATATCCCTTGTGGTTGTGTTTTTTTGTTTGTTTGTTTTTTTGTTTTTTCAAAAAGTCTATCAGAAAAATTTATGAGAAATGTACTTCCAGAACCAGGGACAGACGTTCACTGAGGAGCTCCAAAGCAGACCCAGAACATGCAGGGATTGGCCAGAGATAGGCAGGGGGAGGTACCTATTCAAACGGAGCGCTCTCATTGGATCACATGTTCAAACTGAGTCATACCATTGGACAAGACTCAGAAGAAGGTCCAATCGAAGGCGGAACAAAGAAATTACATATTAAAATTAAAACTACAAGAAGAGATATAATAAAGTTGAAATTTGTGGAAAAACATCATCAACATGTTTTTTCAATATTACATTTTCTGGAAATAAATAATTGTGGAGGCGAGGGCAACACCCTCAAACTATACGCAGGTAGGAGTGAAAGTCCCTGGGCACCAACTTCAACAAAGGCCCCTCATATGTCAGTATTTATAAAGTGACCTCTTGAGCTGTACAGGGAGAAATGTCCAGACTCTCTCCAGGAAAGGAGATCTGTGCCTGGGTACCAACCCAAGCACAGCCCTTATCAGCTGGAGGTCTGAAGAGCATGTCTATTCTGAAAGTGTTTTGAAGTGTTTTAAAGTGATGCCAAATGTTTGAGAAGGGTCACAACCATAACCTGTATAAAAAAATGGAGTGAATGTGACGTCACCCACTTCCTGTTTGGAACACCAAGGCTACTGGGTTAGCTACATTTATATATACAGGCTGTGGTCACGACTCAAACTAACTTATGAATGGCTCTGTATCTCTGGGTACAAATTTCACCACACTCCGCTGATCTGGAGGTACTGGTTTAGTCATAGGTTAGAATCCTGTATAATTTAATGAAAATTGTGTTTTTTAATGAAGAGGTCTACAGCATATCCTCATGTGGTCTGAAGCAGACACAAGAAGGAGGAAGAAATAATTTTTTTAGATAAAGCTACAGTGTGCAACTTTCTGGACATGGCACATTACCTGAATGACTCCATAGAAAAAAAAAAGTTAAAACCTTCAGAATATTCTCTGTGGAGATAGATATGTTTTATGCCATATTGTGGAATATTATAGCCAAAGGAACAATGTTTCCATGGAAACAAGCAGGAGGCCAAATAAGAGTCAGGTTTGAGGAGATACAAGCTCATAGAAAGGATGCATGTTTTCCTATGTTTTTTGCTATAAAAACATGAAATCTAGTGATGAAAAAGGCTTAAGTGTGATGTCACTTCATTAAGTACTTCATTAATTAGAATATGCAGTTGAATTTAGGCTTAAATGTGTTTAATTTGTGAAGTAGAACCATCAGTGTGATGGTTCTATGAAATGAAACAGAATCCTTCTCCTCCTTGCCACCATGCTGCCCTCCAGTCCCAAACACACTCCTGTCATGGTAACAGAAATTGAGGAGTTCGGACAAGTTTCGAGTTGAAATTCTGATCTGTGTTGCATTCATTCCTGTTTTTCCTCAAGATCAAGACCAACTTTATTAATCAAGGTCGGATCTTCTGAGTTTTCAAGATTACATGAATGCAACATTAGTGAGACATACACACTGGTAATCCTACATTATGCTAAATTATTTCTACATGGTTTACATATCTGATACAGTTTGTAGTTAAAACATATTCTTTTGAAAGGTAACTGTCTCTTGTTTGATGAATAAAGAATGACATCAAAGCTAGAAATCAGTGGTGAAGTTTCTGGGGGGGTGACATAATCACGTAACAACTCTATATCCCTTAAAGGGCTGCTATTTCTGGGTACAAACTGTAGCACCGTGTCCTTATCAGCTAGAGGGCTGAGAGGAGCGCACACTGAAATAGAACCCTGGAAAGGTGCTTGGTTTGGAGGGACAAACTTTGATAAGGTCTCTTCAGACTCTGGAGGTCTGAGGGATGTTTTGCTCAAACTGTGCCTGGGAAAAATAGGCTATTTCTGTACACAAACTTGCGCCACGTCCCTTACACAACCATCTGTGTGAAAGTGACTTTTATGAGAAAAAAGCATGACACAAAAATTTACTTTTCAGTTTGTTTTGTTGAGTAACATGGAAAAAATTTGAAATATTTCAATTGGCAGTTTGAAGGTGTGGCTCTGAGGTCATAGGAATGCAGATTTATGTAAGAGAGAGAGGGAGGGAGGGGTGAGAAAAGGGGGAGAAAGGGAGAGAGAAAGGGAGGGAGGGAGAAAGAGAGGGATACAGAAAGTAGGAGAGAAAGGAGAGGGGTGGGTGGGTGAGAGAGCTAGGGGATTGGAAAGAAGGAGAAGGAAATAGATAGAGGAGGGGCATGAGAGGAAAACGAAAGGAGAAGAGAAAGGTAGAAAAATGGAGGTTGGAAAGGGAAGAAAGGGAGAGAGGGATGGTGAAGAGAGAGAGAACAAAGACGAGGAGAAAGAGAGTGAAATGTACCAAAAAGAGCTTATTATTATTTAATTTAAATAAATTTAAATCTTAAATCAGATGTTTTTAGCGAATCAAACATGGATCCAGAGGCCAGGGGAGTGCTGTGGAGTTTGTAACCAGACATGAGCTCCTTTCCTGGGGTTAGTCTGCGCTCTGAGCCACCTCACCTCACCTTCAGAGCAGACCTGGAACTATTAACAGTACAGTCCTGATTTTTCCCATGTATCTGGGTGAAATGTGTCTTGCCCCAGTACACATATATTGTATAAGCAGCTCTTGAGGTCTAAAAAAGTCTGTTGTTTACTGTCTGCATTTAATTATAAACTTTTTAATGTCAGATAATCAGGAAGTACATTGTTGCTATTCGCATGCTAGTTGTTGCTGCTTTACCATGTCTGCTTTGGTCTCTCAGTGTTGTGAAAAGAGCTTATAAACTTATCATGGTGAAGAATTATGATGTTCTGAATGCATAAGATGAGGAGGACCACTGCAAACCGTTTAAAATGAAGTTCTGTTTTTCATGTTTTAGACAATAACAATCACGTACAGAGATTTTAAAAAGCTCTAATTAGGTAAGGCGTTTTCATTTTACACATTGCACTTGTCTATCTCCATGAAGACAGACACGTAGGGTGGCAGAACTAGATTAAAATTACAGGTCGGCTCTGTGGAGAGCCAATACAATTTCTATGGATACATGCAGGTAGCAGACCCTTGAACAGAAACGTTACAGAGTGCACCTTTAAACATTTAAAACAAAATCTTGTGTCTTTTGAATGGAGAAAAGTCCTCAAAATGTCACCTAATAGGATAATAGATTTTACTGCTGCCCTCCTGTGGTGAATGGTTGTGGGTACAGGAGCTATTTCATTCAGATTTTGTTTTGTTTTGTTTTTTACTTTAAACAGCACAGCGGACTTACTTTAAACAGCACAGCGGACTTACTTTGACCTCAAGAGCTATATATTTTACTCAAATACATAGAAAAGATTAGGTACAGGGCTTTAAGAATTTGGAAATTTCACGTAGCTTACTGTTTTAGCCTTAGTGAAAATTATGGACAATTTTAAATGACAGTCCTGGTTTAGTCCTGATTCACCTCTACTGGTAGTAGTAGTATTTTTATTTTAAATTTTGAGTCTGTGTCCTTGGGTAAGACATTTTATGAGGAAGAGCATCTGGTGTAAAAATCCCAGCAACCAAAACATAATAAAATTTCATTTCAGAGTGTCGCCCTCACTCTGATAACAGCTGTCCCTCATTTAAATAAATGGCAATACTTCTGTTTTAAATGTTTTTCTTAATGAACCGTTGTCATGGAAACAGCAGAGTCAGACAGACCATAATAATCTCTCTAGCAAAATGCCTCAGAGAAGTGGTTTGATTGTGGTTTAGTCCTGGTTCAGTCCTGGTTTAATATTCATAGCATCAGCGGTAGTAGTATTTGTAGTAATACTTTTACCTTGAAGGCGCTCTTGCAGCTGATGTCGTCTTGTAGTAGTAGAAGCAATAGTATTATTTGTTGGCAGTAATAGTAGTAGTGTTCATAGTATTTTCAGTATCATAAAGCTGAACTTTGGCTGGTCTAGTCCTGTAGTAGTAGTAGTAGTAGTAGTAGTAGTAGTAGCAGTAGCAGTAGCAGCAGCATTAGTAGTATTTGTTTTACCTTGAAGGCGTACTTGCGGCTGATGTGGTCCTGCGTTCCCACTGGACACACTTCATAACTGGGCAAAGGAATAGAACCCAGGACACTCTGCTCTCTGCTGTCTGGAGGGAGGGAAAGAAAGAGAGAGGGGGGGGGGGTATGAGAGGAAGACAGGAAGGGTTTTAGGTTAAAGGGATGGAAGGAGAGGAGAGAAAATGGGGAGGAGAGAAAGAGAGAGGAGAGAGGGTCATAAGGTAAAGAACACAGAGGTAGAGAGGGGAGGAAAGGTGTGGAGGATAAGAAAGATAAAGGAGGATAAAGAGGAGAGAGAGAAGGAGGTGGTGAGGAGAGGAGAGTGAGGAGAGAGGAGGAGAGAGAGGGAGAGAGGGAAGGAGAGAGAGGGAGGTCAGAGGTTAGATAAATATAAGTGGTGTTTGAGCCGAGTCTAAAATTATCCTCTGGAACATTCTTCACAAACTGCAGCTCAGACATATCCAAACGTGCTTAGGTTTTTATCTGGAGATTTATCTGAAGTTATGGCACTAAACAGAGAAGGTGTCGGTTCAATCCCCAAGACAATACTGTTGCTGCGTCTTTTATATGAGTGTTTCCCACAGAGTAGTGTTGCCATGATACCAAAGCCATGTGGCCTTATATCTGATGCAAATAAATACTGCTGCTGTGTCCTTGGGCAAGACACTTCATGTGTGTATGGATGAATAGTATGAGCACAGACATCATAGAATGTTCGAAGCATATGGACAAGTGCTGTAGGACACTTGAGCATTCTAACATTAGAATCAATCCATTTTCAGGTTCATGTTTCACTTTTCCACAGATTTTCGATTTCATATCAACAGACACTCTGTGTATCTTTTATACAGAAGAGTTGGTTTGGATTTTTATGTTAAAAATAACATTTTTATAGCGACAAGTTTCATCATATTAAATACAGAAAGCACTGTAGTGCACCCTCAAGTGGCTGCTAACATTACTACACTTAACGTAACAGTCGATCGTCAAAACTGATTTAATCTAGGGTGACCAGATGGCCCTACTTACCCGAAAGAGTCCAAGTTTTGAGCCCTGTATCCCCTGTTCCAGCAGATTTGTCCAAAACCAGTTTTATACAAGAAATATATACAAGTGTTATACACGTTTTATACAAGAAATGTCCCATGGGTCCCTATTTTTGACCAAATGAGGGGAATATATTGTCATTTGTTTAGCTAAAATATATAAAGACATGCTTGGAAATGACCACAAGGCAAATAAATGCAGTTAGTTGCACCTTCAGAAGTCCCTCAGATCTTATACTGACCAAAAAGTGAGTGAAGAATGGACGTTACGCTCAATATTTATACCAGCCGTCACAACCCGGGTGTGTGCCAGTTTTGAATTTTGAAAATCTGGTCACTCTAATTTAAACTAATTATTTATGAATGACGAGGACTGAAAACAATGGTAACAATAGATCTTTGTCGTTATAGATACTTTAATTATGAATATGACTGTCTCATAATTGGGTTTTAACTGTCACATTTCCATTTAGCGACTGCCACACACATTTGAAGCAGTAAATTAGTGTAACTAAACTTTACTTGTGAAAGGATGATCCATTTTTCCTGCCTCGTTGTTTATAGAATTAAAATGACCAAATAAAGAATGTCAAATCCCTGGCTTTGCATCTGTCTGATGCGGTGGCCATATTGGGGCCTCATCCGTTGTTGTAGCTCATGTGGCTTCTGTCCAGCCATTATGCAGTTTCTGTGATTTCTATGAGGTACAACTGCAGACAGAAACATTAAGTCTCAGTTTGAATTTGAAAACAAGTACTGTCAGAAAAAGGTTTAAATGGTTTAATCAGGGATAATTTCACTGATTATTTTAATCAACCTGCTTCTTGTTAAGTCTCAGGTCCTGTGGTTTGAAGGAGGTCAGAGCCGAGCAGTATGGCAGTAATTTGTGCTAGTAGTGGAGTAGTGTGTACTTGTACTAGGGTTGTCAAAAGTATGGACAATCATCTACTGATCAATACTAAAACTAGTGTCAAACCTAGATTTTAATTTGTGCAACTATTGATACTAAAAAAGTTGCATTCACGGGACTAGTACACACCCATGAACCACTATGGAACCTACTTGGATGACTGACGGATTACACAGATATAAAGCCACATGGGAATAGAAAAGAAAGTACTACTGTTAAATACTGAAAATTACATTCTAAATGTCTAAAGAAAGTGTTTTATTATCATTGTGGTATTGGAATTGGTATCAAAGTTAAATTTGAAATTAACTTGTAACACTAACTTGTACTGCAGTAGTGTGTAAAAGTACTGTAGTAGTGTGTACTGGTACAGGGAGACCTCCAGTAATGAGTTAAAAATATCTGACGCAGACTCAAAATGGACTCACTCACAACTTATCTCACTATCACCTCTTTCTCTCCCTCTCTCTCCTTCACTCCTCCGTGAGCCCGCCCTTCCTCCTCCCTCTCCTCACCTCTCACCTTCTCCCACCTCCAAGGTCAGATATCAACATCTTATTGAGCAACTTCCAACTCCAGTAACAATAAATACTGCATTTATTTACTTGTACTTAGATGTACTTACTTTTACTTTTACTACTGTAGTGTGTGTATTTGTACTGTAGTAGTGTGTATACTTTTACTACAGTAGTGTGTACTTATACTACAGTTGTGTGTAGAACTTGTACTTTTTGTACCTTTATAGTAGAAGAGGCAGAAATCGGACAAAACGAACCATTTCCTCTTCCACAGACGCATCCCACTGCTGTCCTGGAAATACACCACAATAAGGATAAATAGGACATTAAACTAACAAGGCAAGGCAAGTTTATTTGTATAGCACAATTCGTACACAAAGTAATTCAAAGTGCTTTACAGAATAAGAAATACATTAAAGTCATAATAAAAACAAATCAAAACATAAATAGTCATGAAGATTAAAATTAAGAAAGAGAGACATAAATTGGAGAGAAGAGTGTGGAATGAAAACCTTTTAGTTATATGCACAGTTAAACAGAAATGTTTTGAGCCTGGATTTAAACAGCGTCACAGAAGAGTCTGTCTCACATGTTCAGGAAGACTGTTCCAGGTTTTAGCTGCATGAACCTAACAAACAATTATTTTTACACATTTTTATATACTTGAGAAAGAACGCACCAGCAAGGTCTGTTGTTAATGTTCATATTTTGATTTAGGGACAAAATAGTGAAATAAGAGCAGAGCAGGTTAAAAACAACATTTCAAGTTAAGAATGACGAGTCTGACAGAAGAAGTTACAGAGAGAGGGGCCACGCTTTTTCAACAGAAAGTGAACTGAAGTCAGTGAAGCCGCAATCGTGCCCATTCTCACTTCCTGTTTGGAATGTGGTGGTTTCATAAATGTACGAAATATAGAATAGCAAATCATATCGATCTGTGTGTTACCTGTTTGTAGAGCCATCCTCGCACCTCCACCGGGACGTTTGGGTTCCTCTTCACAGACAGCTGCCTCTTCCCAAAACTGTGAAGCTTAGACCCAGACCGGACCACCTGAAAGGACCAGACCAGGATCACAACCAGATATCAGACCAGCATCAGGGTTAGCATGGCCTCTCAGTCAGAGGTCAAACTGCGCCCTCTACAGGAGAGGACAGATCTTAAGAGTTGTTTATTACAAAGAGTCTGACAGACAGAGGGATAGAGTGGAGGGGAGGAAACAGAGAGAGTGGAGGGGTGGAGGGAGGGATAGAGAGGAGACAGGGTTTGTACCTTGTTGTTGTTTGAGGCGTTTGTGGACGCTGAGTCGCTGAGCTCAGGTTTAGACATGACTCTGGACTGAGGTCTGAAAAACAGGACCAAGATTAGACCAGGACTGGACCAGGACTAAACCAGGACTGAACCAGAGACTAAACCTGGACTAAACCAGAACTGAACCAAGACTGAAACAGGACAACACCTTGACACATGTATATTTTTTGTAAATTGTTTCTTTCCTACATAATTCCATACATATTACTTCATTTACTTCCTTCTTCAAAATCCACAGAGGTAGTTTGAATTGTAAATTGTGTGAGAGTTGACATGTAAACCTGTAGATCTTTAGTCATTTAGTCGATTCGTTGGTCGATGGTGTCTTAGTCGACCAAAATTTGTATTCGTTGCCCTATTAATTTATTAAAACCAAATCCAAATCCACTTCATTTATATAGCGCATTTTACAAACAAAGCAGTTTAAAGGACCCATATTACACTATTTTCTGATCTGTGTTATAATGTTGTTTTACAAAAGTGAAAAATGTATTTGTGATCTTTACTTTAACTTAAGATAAATTTGCTGGCTTCGCTATGGATTTTAAAAGCTAAAAATATGGATAACTGCTAGGGATGTAACAATAACCGAAATATTGTGATATCGTATCGTCAAAGTTCAAAATATCGCAATATATATCGTACCGTGAGATGTGTATTGTGAAAATGTCATACCGAGAGATTTAGATATTGTTACATTCCAAATCGTGAGCCTCCCCACCATATTGTGAGCTTTTCCCAATAAATATCGTACCGTGAGATTCATACTGTGACAATATCATATCGTGAGACCATAGCAGCAGACCAAATATGAGAAACCTGACTCTTATTTGGCCTGCTTGTTACCTTGGAAATGCTGTTCGTTTGGCTTTAATATTCCGTATGGCATTAAACACATCTATCTCGTGGAGAATGTTCGAAAGTGGTACAACTTTAAATTTCAATGGACTCATGCAGGTGACGTACAACCACGCTAAGTAACTTTTCTTGTGCAGGGTCTATTTCTTGCTTGTCTCCATGATTTACCAGGATGTATTCACGGGAGTAGTAGTAGTAGCAGCAGCAGCAGCAGTAGTAGCAGCATTAGTTTTAGTAGTAGTAGTAGACATAGTATTTTCAGTATTTTCAGTACTCACAGTTCGTGCAGGATGAAGGCGGAGTTCTCTGAGGAGGCGACTCCAGTTTGAGGATGAATGAATGTGGTCCTCCTCTCGTTATGACTGAAACACACAAAATATTGATCTGGCTTAGTCCTGGTTTAGACCTGATTTAGACACAGTTTAGTCCTGGTTTAGTTCCAGTTTAGTCCTGGTTTAGTCCTGATCTGGTCCTGGTTTAATCCTGGTTGAGTCCTGGTTTAGTCCTGATCTGGTCCTGGTTTAATCCTGGTTGAGTCCTGGTTCAGTTCTGACTTAGTCCTGGTGTGAAATGCCGGCAGTCGTTGCTCATTTATTCACACATCACAGAGAAAATCCACAAATGTTTAACTTCATTATTTATGGGGGAGGGCGTCTGACACACACAAGTTAATTTAAAAGGTCAGTCACAAACTACAGCTCAACTAAATAAAACTCAAACCTGTTTAAGAAATTATCAAAATGGATCCTCTGTAGTCCAAGTATAGACCGGACCAAAGTCCTGTCGACCCAGGTCCTGGTCTAGTCCTGGTTTAGTCCCAGTCTAGTCCTGGTCTAGTCTCTATCCTACATCAGCACATTCTGAGCAGAGGGCAGTGTGCGGAGTGACAATAGAGAGGGGGAGAGAGGGAGGGAGAGAGGGGAGGAGAGATGAGAGGGGGGAGAGAGAAAGAGGAGGGAGATAAACAGAGCAGGATAGACAGAATAAAGACGAGAAAGAGAGGGAAGTTGGGGGAGATACAGGTAGGAGGGGCTGGAGATGAGATTGAGAAAGCGAGCACAGAGGGGAAGAAGGGAATGGAGGAGAGGAGAGAGGAGGGAGAGAGAGGTAGACTTGACAGTAAAGAGAGGGATGAGAGAATTAGAGTTCAGTGTAGTGGAGAGAGAGGGGGGAGACAGGGAGGGATGGAGAGAGAGGGGTGTGAGATAGAACAGTAGAGAGAGGGAAAATGGTGAACTCTGAGGTGGGAGGGGCTGAGGGAGGACAGAGAGAGAGTGAGAGTGTAGAAGAGGAGAGAGGAGGAAGAGGGAGAGATAGATAGAGTCAACAGTAAAAAGATGGGTGCAGGAAAGTGTGGACTCATCAAAATGAGAGCGAGAGAGAGAGAGAACATAGAACATGGGGAGAGAAAGAGGAAAGATGAGAGTTAAAGAGAGAAAGAGAGAGAAGAGGGAGGGGTGAAGGAGAGAACAAGAGAGGAGAATGTCAAAAAGGAGGAGAGAAGTGAGATCGATGTAGAAAGAATACAGAGGGTTAGAGAGCCAGGAGGAGAAAGAGTGGAGTGAGAGAGAAATTGGGAGAGAGAAAGGGATGAGAACAGTGAAAGAAAGAGGAAAAAGAGGAGAGAGGGGCTGAAGTTTAAACAAAATAATCTTCTCTCTTTTTCAATAAATCTTTAGTGACAAATTGAAATTAACTGAGCTCAGCATGAGATTCTAAACTGAGGATCAAACTTTATTTAATCAGAAACATGCCTCTATTAGACAGCAGGGGGCAACAGGGAGTCACATTTAAACTGTACCTCTGAGCAACACACTTCGGCTACATGGGAACTAGACCTGCAGGATTAATGGAAATCAAAATCACAGTTAGAATCTCTCTCTCCCTTCCCTCTCACTTCTCTCTCTCTTCTTCTTTCTCTTCTTCTCTCTCTCCTTACTTCTCTCCTTTCTCCTCTCTCATGTTTTTTCTCCTTTCTCTCTTCTCTCTATCTCGCTTCTTTTCCTCTGTTCTCTCTGTCCTCCTCTCTCTCCTCTCTCCTCTCCTTTCTCCTCTTTGTCTTTCTCTCTTCTTTCTCTCTCCTCTCCTTTCTCCTCTCATATTCTTTCTTCTCTCTCCTCTCTCTCTCCTATCTTGTCTCTCTCCCCCCTCTCTTTTCTCTATCTCCTCTCTTCTTTCGTCTCTCTTCCTCTCTCTTCTCTCTCTCCCCCTCTTTTCTCTCACTTCTCTTCTCTCACTTCTTTTTCCTCGCTTCCTCTCTCTTCTCCCTCTCCTCCTCTCTTCTCCTTTCTCTCTCTCCTCTCTTCTCTCATCTTTCTCTGCTCTCTCTCCCTCTCTCTCCTCTCTTGTCTCTCCCCCCCCTCTCTTTTCTCTATCTCCTCTCTTCTTTTTCCTCTCTTCCTCACTCTCTTCTCTCCTTTCTCCTCTCTCTCTTCCTCAGTAGGGCTCTCTCTTCTCTCTATCTCTCCTCTCTGCTCTTCTCTTCTCTCTCCCCTCTATCTCTTCTCTCTCTCTTTCCTCTATCTCTCCCCCTCTCTCTTGCTCTCCTCTCTCTCTTTTCTCTCTCTCCTTTCTGTTCAGATGCCCTCACATCTCACCTCACTGTCTCTCATTTCTTTCATCCGTTTTGTTCTGTTGTGTATTTATGGTGTCGTTGGCCTGAGAGCGTCATGTTCTGGGCTAATGGACTCTAAATGGAACTCACAAATGTGTGTGTTTTTTTGTTTTTTTTTACCTCACAAATGTATAAAAATATAAGTCTATTATATGCCTCACATAGTCCTGATTTAGTCCTGGTTTAGTCCTACTGTAATCCTTCTTTAGTCGTGGTTTAGTCCTCCTTTAGAACTGCTTTAGTCCTGGTTTACTCCTGGTTTAGTCCTCCTTTAGAACTGCTTTAGTCCTGGTTTACTCCTGGTTTAGTCCTCCTTTAGGCCTGCTTTAGTCCTGGTTTAGTCCTGTCTTAGTCCTGCTTTAGTCCTGCTTTAGTCCTGGTTTAGTCCTCCTTTAAGATTGCTTTAGTCCTGTCTTAGTTCTGCTTTAATCCTGCTTTAGTCCTGTTTTAGTCCTGCTTTAGTCCTGCTTTAATCCTGCTTTAGTCCTGCTTTAGTCCTGTTTTAGTCCTGCATTAGTCCTGCTTTAGTCCTGCTTTAGTCCTGTTTTAGTCCTGTTTTAGTCCTGCTTTAGTCCTGCTTTAGTCCTGCTTTAGTCCTGTTTTAGTCCTGCATTAGTCCTGCTTTAGTCCTGCTTTAATCCTGCTTTAGTCCTGCTTTAGTCCTGTTTTAGTCCTGCTTTAGTCCTGCTTTAATCCTGCTTTAGTCCTGCTTTAGTCCTGTTTTAGTCCTGCATTAGTCCTGCTTTAGTCCTGCTTTAGTCCTGTTTTAGTCCTGTTTTAGTCCTGCTTTAGTCCTGTTTTAGTCCTGCTTTAGTCCTGCTTTAGTCCTGTTTTAGTCCTGCATTAGTCCTGCTTTAGTCCTGTTTTAGTCCTGTTTTAGTCCTGTTTTAGTCCTGCATTAGTCCTGCTTTAGTCCTGCTTTAGTCCTGCTTTAGTCCTGCTGTTGTCTTGGTTTAGTCTTCCTTTAGTCCTGAAACTCCTCCAGCGTTTTTCATTTTCTTTTGTGAATTATTCAGACAGGATTTAAATTGGGCTCCATTTTAGAATCTTCTTTTCATAGCTCAGACCAGAACTAAATCAGGACTAAAACAGGACTGAAACAGGATTGAACCAGGACTAAACCAGGACTAAACCAGGACTCAAGCAGTCCCAAAGCAGATCTGAACCAGGACTAAACCAAAACTAAACCAGGACTAAACCAGGTCTAAACCAGGTCTAAACCAGAACTAAGCAGGTTCATATTACACAGCCATAAACATTGCGTAGTATGAACATGGTGTAAGTGTGTGTGTTGATGGTGGGAGCTTCAGTTGTGTGAGTCTGTCTCAGGGCAGCTGTGGCTACACCCCCACACCCCACAAGGTCACACAGGAGAGGCACTTTAACACAATACGAGCTTAAAAAAAAGAAGAGTTTAATTATGGCACAATCTCTCTTTCTCTTTTACAATTCAAAATCATCTTTAAAAATAGTAACAGAAAAATGTTTAGAATAACAACAGTAAGAATAGTTTTGTAATGATTGAAAAAATAGCTAATTTCATTGTGATGTAGTAACTTGCAGAATAACATGATGTATTATGTAGTTGAAGGTCCATTATAGGGCCCATATTGTTTTCTCATCACAAACATACCTGGAGTTGTGTTTTGTTTCATTCAAGTTTAACAAACCCTGCAAATTTAAGATGAGTTCTTCTTCTCCACCTTGTGATGTCATGTCGTAATACAGGAAGTGCTCCATTGTGTTTTAAGATCCATACACCTTCACTAGAATCATCTGGATCATTTCAGCTCTGGAATTGCCAGTCTCTACTAAACAGAAGGTAAATGGTTGAAAACTACCTCTCCATGACATCACGAGGAGGAACGGAGTATTCTGAGCTTTGGAGATACAGACTGATACATAATAAAGGGTTACTCAAACGTGTGAATGAAACGAAACACAACTCCAGCATTCTAACATGGCTTAAAGTTCAGAAGAGTCGATTTTGCGTAATATAGACCCTTTAACATGCTGTAATTGGAAACAAGGGGAGGCACAATAATCTTTAATATCTTTAAACTATAAACTAATTAAATAAATGAGAACAGAAAAGTACAATTACTTCTGTCTCTATCACAGTATTCACAACACATTACTCATAACACAGTACTCACAGGGCAGTATTCTCAAGGCAGTATCCACAAAGCAGTACTCACATCGCAGTACTCACAAGGCAGTATGCACAACGCAGTATTCACGTCACAGTACTCACGTCACAGTACTCACGTCACAGTACTCACAAGGAAGTATTCGCAACGCAGAACTCCACCTGTCCCTGTCCCGTGTACTTCATGTACTTCAAAATACCTTGTGTACTACAGTGTACTACAGCCCTGTACTATGGAGTTCACCGAGTACTGTAGACGCTTATAGACACTGGAACTGTTACACAAATATCACACGAGAGAGAGGGAGAGAGAGAGAGAGAGAGAGAGAGGAGAGAGAGAGGAGAGAGAGATGAAAGGAGTGAGGGATGAAAAGGAAAGAGGGAGAGAGAGAGAATGAGAAAGAGAGAAGGAAAGAGAGGGATAGATATAAGAGAGAGAAGGAGAGAAAGGGAGAGGGAAGAAAGACAAGAGTTGGGGGTGGGGGGTGAGAAGGCGAGAGAGAAAAGAGAGAGAGAGGGGGAGGAAAGAAGTTAGAAGGAAAGAAGGAAAGCAAGAGAGAGGGAGAGAGAGAGAGAGACAAAGGAGAAGGAAAGAGAGA